AATTTTCCTGCTGACTCAAATTTTTGCGGCGATTTTTAGAAGAATTGGAGCTCTTTCCAACGAGGTTTTAATTTTTGGAATCGCCACCGTATTAAGAAAGTTATGCGCCAATATTGCACTGCAGGAAAACCGTTAACGTAATTTCAATCCCTCGTATCTTGCAGGTTTTTTGGGCGATTTCGAATATGAAACCAGTGATGTTTAGGGAAAATTGAGCCCTTTACAGTGGCGTTTCAAAACTGAAATCGGCCCAAAAACGTGCCAGCTACAAGAATTTCAAAATGTCGTTCCTGCAGTTAACATATGTGACATAACTCCCTTTATACGTGGGCGATTCAAGAAATGAAAACCTCGTTGGAAAGAGCTCGAATTCTTCTAACAAACTTCGCAAAAATTTATGTCAGCAGGAAATTTTCTTTTGCTCGTAACTCGTTTGTCGATGGAGCAAATTGCGAAAACAACACGACGAGCTAAATAAAATTGAATTTGCTACATTTTGCCTTTTTGTTCACACCAAAAGTCAATTTTTCCTGCAGCAAAGTTTTTCCCATAGCTTCGCTAATACCGGGGCGATTTAGAGAACTGAAACGCGATTGTAAAGGGCTCAATTTGCAGGAAGAATCTTTCCAAATCAAAGGCAACAATTGCCCTCTGCAGGAATTTTCTTAGATCATCTTTTAATCAGTCAAACTTTTTGAGCCGAATGCATTTGGCGTCCATCGAACGCATAAATATTTCAAAACATTCGGCTCAGCAGGATTTTCCCCGGTTTTCCAACGCTCATATTCTGCAGGTTTTGCAGCCGATTTCAATTTGCAAACTGGTCATTTGAAGACAAACGTCTGCGCTCTCCAAAGCAGGTTGTATTTTTCAAATCGCCCTCGTAATAAGGTAGTTCGGCACCAAATTTTTCCTGCAGGAATTTTTTTTTCGAAATTGCGTTTTCGGCGACAGAAATTCGTTTCGAATTCATTTAAATTGTCAAGATTCCAAAAAATCGGAAAATTTTCCTGCAGGATAAGTGATTTTTTCAAATCAGTCGATCGGAATCCTCAACACAAAGGAAAGTGCGCCAATTGTACACTCACCCACTTGACGCAAATGTGCCCAATTACGACCCACTTAAGTGACGCGCGGCGTTGCCAGCTGGTGCAAAAAATCCTGTCGGAACAGGGAAACCCACCGCACTAAAAACCAAGCAAAAAGGCAAACATCCGACCATCAAAGCTCAAAAATCGAGATCGTTGCGATATTGGAAAGGCCCCTGATTGGTTTGCGCAGGAGAGAGTTTTCCAGCCAATAATGAGCGCACATTTAATGAATCTAAAACCAATAGTTTAAGAGCTAATCAGTTAATTGAAGCGATCGTTGTTGAATGAATGGCACTTTCGTTCGCCCGATCCTGCCGGCCTGGTTGCCACGCTTCGTCCCTACTTCGTCAAACAAACGTCACTGAGGGTATTTTTGTCTGAGTCTGGCAACACCGTGGCAACAAACAACAACAAAGTGGCCAAAGTCACGCCCCCCGATTGACATTTTCCTTGACACATAACCTCACACTGTCAATTTATGTTGCAGAGCCCAGTGGCAACGTCGGACCTGTCGCTCGACCAGTCGCTGTCATCGGGCGTGGACATGCGCAGTAGTGCAGTGCGCGTGGCCGGCGACTACACGAAGCGCAAAAACGTGCTGCGCATGTCCACAGTGAAACCCTGCCGCTCGGAATTTCTGATTCAGGCGGAAAGCGGCGAAGAATTCGCCGATTGGGTGAAAACGCTGCAGCAGCAAGTCGCTGTCAGCACCGAGGCCGATCTGGTAAGTACCGCACAGTCTGATGATGGCCCGCACTGGTGCAGGCGAAACCGGTGCCGGAAAAATGGCGGGTTTTAACCGCGCGTTGTCTAGGAGCAATCGGGAGGGGGGAGACAGAGGGCGGAGCCGCAGGCCCCCCCCACCGGTCCGGCGCAGAGCAGCCATTTGTCGCCGCAGCCGGCCAATAAGAACGGCAAAACGTCGATGGTGAGCCGCAATCGATCGCCCACCGGCCAATCGCCGGTGAGCAAGACAAGGAAACCATCATCGCACAATGACAGCGCCATCCCCACCACCAGCCCCAAGAGTAAAACGTGGCGGGGCCGCGTTGCCAAGCAGTTCAAGAAATTCAACCAGGGCGCCACGTCGCCAACGTCGCCCACCGCACCGGAAGTGTACGGGTAACCAGCGCAGCTGGCAACGTTGCACGGGTGATTTGAACCGGATGTTTCAGGTCGACCTTCGGTATCCCGATCGAGCATTGTATCGCCTCGAACGAGAACGGATTCCTGCCGAGGTTTGTCGAAGTTTGCACGGAAATAATCGATGCCAAAGGTCTGGGAGTGACGGGAATTTATCGTGTGCCTGGCAACAATGCCTCAATCACGGCGCTGTCGGAGGAGATCAATCGGAATTTTGAGGAGGTGCCGCTGGAGGATGCCAAGTGGAACGATCTGCACGTGGTCAGCAGCCTGCTGAAGTCGTTTTTGAGGAAGATGCCCGACAGTTTGGTCACGTCCGCCCTCTATCCGCACTTTATCAAGGTGAGCTGCAAAAGTGGGGGGCGCAGTTGCCAAATTTATTTGATTTGTTCCTGCAAAAATCGAGCCCTTTCGAGTGCAGTTTAAGTTTTGCAAATCCGACCTGGACTAAGCGAGTTATGCGGGATATTTCCCCTGCAGGAAAAGTATTTTTTTCGACAATCCCTTTTTTGCCCGGTGAATGCATTTGGCCTCCATCTAACGCA